TCATTTTTCTCATTGCGCTTTCTTGTAAATACCCACTTGTAACCTACAGGGTTCACATTGGGTGGAGTTGGAACAATAAGTCCAAAAACACTTCTTTTTTCCAAAGAGTCTAATTCTGCCTGGATTGCATATTTCCACTTAGGCCAATCCTGTCTCTGTGTGCATTCATCAATGGAGCAAGGCTCAATATCATCATCTTTTATGATCTTAGTAGCCACTAAGAATGCAAATATATTATCGATGATTATCTCATCTCTGTTTCATAATTCATTAGTGGATGTATAATTTATGGAGATTTCTTGACTTTCAGGTACAGCTGCCATTTCAGGAGCTCGTGTCTCATCAAGGACATTTTCCTTTTCAGGAAGTACCTGTCCCTCTTGAGAGGGATTTGAACCATGAATTGTGGGCTCTCCATTTATTTCATTTGGATTCATTTTGGCCATCAACTTCCTCTTTCGAGGAACTGAGTCCTTTGAGCCTAGTGGTCTGCCACGCTTCAGGCGTGCAACAGATGAGCCATTTGCTGATGCATTGCTTTGTCCATTGTGAATATCAATCCTTGCAAGTGCATTTGCAGCTGGGATATGTGATTTTGTCACCTTTGTTGCATCATTAAATGCATCTGACATCTGATTTGCAATACTTTGGAGGTGAATGATCCTTCTTACTTCGTTTTCGCATTGAGCGGTACGAGGATCGATATGAGACAAAGTGGGTACATCCCACTATAATTCACGTCGTTCTTCAGGAATCAGTTTGCCTTGTTCTTTAGAAACAGATTTTTCTCCCCCTAATGGTGGGAAAATTGTCTCATCAAAATGACAATCCGCAAATCATGCCCTAAAGATATCACCCGTCAGGGGTTCTAGATATCTTATGATAGATGGTGAATCAAAGCCAACATATATTCCCAATCTGCGTTGAGGGCCCATCTTAGTACGTTGCGGTGGTGCAATAGGCACATATACCGCACAACCAAAAACTCTTAAATGTGAAATATTTGGTTGATTACCCAACACAAGTTGTATTGGAGAATATTGATTGTTGGCGACGGGCCTCAACCGTACAAGAGATGCTGCATGTAAAACGGCATATCCCCAAGCAGAAACTGGCAACTTTGTTTTCATTAGCAATGTGCGTGCTATTAATTGAAGACGCTTAATCAAAGCTTCTGCCAAGCCATTTTGAGTATGAACATGGGGAACAGGATGTTCAATGTCAATGCCTAGCGACATGCAGTAATCATCAAAAGTTTGGGATGTAAATTCACCAGCATTATCAAGTCTAATTGACTTAATGGGATAATCTGGGAATTGGGCTCG